TGGACAGGACATACTCTCACTTCTCTCAAAGGAAATCTATCTAAACTTTAAAAGTGTGAAGTTTAAATTAAAAAAAGCATTGCACATTCAAGAACAATCTCAAATAGACCAAGAAGAACAAGCCAGTTTCTAGACAATTAAATTGTATTGGGTCCAGATTAAAGTTATACATTATGACCAGCAAAGGACTTCACTCATCAGAGCAACCAGGATTATTTGTGGAATGACTAATGTAGTCATAAGCAAGCATATCACAACAGACTATTGAGATCACACATCTGCTCAACTGGGTTGTCATTTACTACAACAAATCTGTACTACAATGTAAATTTCAGTGTTCTCCATACAGCCCTTTAGAAGAATGGTTCCCAAATGCCTGATGGGGCAGGCTGGCAGTATGCCCTAGGAGTGTTTTTTATGCCTAGACAACTGGTTTGCAAGTCTGGGATCTAGCTAAGGGACTTATTTTTGGTTTTAATCCTTCACAGGTAATGATGATATATTGCCAGGTTAGGAAATCAATGCACAGTGAACAAAAAATAACTGCAAAAAATATTTGTGAGTCTAGGAGTAAATCCCAGAGAACTATATTGTAAAAGAAAGTAGAGACTGTCAATATGGACAGAAAGGTCACCATTATGACTTCAGATCATTTTATCTTAATTTTAGCAAACGATTCATCACGTTCTATTCTAGCACTGATGCCTACGTATCTTAATTCCTGAAAAAATTTACTGCAAATGTACCTACCGTCCCCAGCAATGAGACATAGAGAGTAGGTAAAAATGTAAATAGGTTTTTGTTCCTTTTCTGACAAAAGCTTGTAAAAGTCCATATTAAATCCCAGTTCCAAATGGAGTTAGGGTAACTCAATGAAAATCTTGGGGCAGGAAAAAAAAAAAAATCTCCAAATTCTCACCTTTCAGATAAAAATGTGCAAATTTCGCCAAATGTTTAAGAAAAAATTAATGAGCAAAACTTCTTCATCAAGCTACTTTTGTATAGGCAAGTCACATGGACATACCATATACTTCTTTTGGATTGAAGCTTTAAGATATTTACATATCCTAGGGTAATATAGTTATCAAAACTAAAAGTAGTGGCAAGAAGTCTGTTAGCAGTCTCAGACTAGCTCCAGAGTGTTGCCAGAAGTCACTCTAAGTCATAAGTGAGACTGAGAGGCCCCTGCTTCCATAGAAAGAAGCAGTACAATTTCTGAAGGGGAAGAAATGTAGAACTCTTGTTAAACAGATACTGCTGGCTTTTCCACTTAAGGGAAAGATGAGCTAGTTTTTTAAAAAGATGAAAAATAACTTTTTACCACAAGATCTTCCAGAGAAGAGCCATCACTGATAACAAGGTCATTAAATTGGTCTTGGATTTGGTCCATAGTTTGTGGGAGATCTCGAGCTGGAATAAACCACTCATGTTCCTCTTCTTCTTCCAGCATTTCTTGGAAACAGCGTTCAATAAATTCTTCTTCCCATAACTCCTCTTCTATCTGGATTTATAATAAATAAAGCATCACTGATAGCACACTTGGTAATGTGTCACTAGGAATGTGTCACTAGGAATGATTTAAAATATCCTGAATTAAGGCATTTAAGGTGTGCCTGGGTGGCTCAGTTGGCTGAGCATCCAACTCTTGATTTTGGCTCAGGTCATGATCCCAGGGTTGTAGGATTGAGCTCTCTGCACTGGGCTCTGTGCTGGACATGGAGCCTGCTTAGGTTAGGATTCACTCTC